AGTTAGGTGCTTGTGAGCCACCATGTGGTACTGGGAATCTAATCCAGGTCCTTTGCAAGAGCAGCCATCTCTCCTCTCCCATCCCCCTCTCTGCATGTCTTGATACCATGACCCATCTCTGCATGTTTGTCTTTGTGTCCAAATTTGTCCCATAATTACAAGGTTACTAGTCATAATTAACAAGATTCACCCCAATGACCATAGTTTAATTACCTCTAAAATGGCCCTTTTGCCAAATAAGATCCTATCTTGAAGCACTGGAGTTTAGACTCGAAACACAGTTCAACACAATATCTAATGTTTCCCTTCAGAAAAACTACAAAACATTAGAGAAATGGAGAAGACGAAGACTCAGCTGGGCATGGTGGTTTGTGGGTCATGCTTCTGATTACAGCATAGTAATATGCGGCAGGAATATCATAAGTCGGAGGCTTGACTTTGTCTCAGTTTTTAAAATTAATTTATTTTCTTCCTTAATCTCTTAAATTATACTATTATAAGTTATATTATTAGGGTTTTTTGTTTGTTTGTTTTGTTTTTAAGTGTTCTGTTGGTGGGTTTTTATGGCCCAGGGCCTGGTGCATGCTAGATATGAGCTCTGCTATTGAACCACATCCCTAGCTCTGCCTTTTATAGTTATTTTAATGGAGGGCTCTTTCGTTCTTTCTTTCGTTCATTCATGCATTCGTTAAGTTTACCTGGGAGGCCAAAGCTAAGTCATAAAGTTGTGAGTTGTCCTAATTATTTTTTTCCATGTGAAACAGTTGATGACTACCAGCCAGTTCGTCTGCTAAGCGAGCCTGGGGAGTTAAGACGAGAATACGAAGAAGAGATAAGCAAGGTGGGTAGGAAATAGTTTAGGTTTTTTTTTTTTTTTTTTTTTTGTGAAAATACCTTTGTTATACTTTTAGTCTCAGATTTATACATAGTACTTGTTTATATAACTATCATAAACTGAAATGTTAGTAATTTTAATGTACTTTATATCTGCCACTCCTCCTCCCTCATTAAAAAGTTTTTGGTTGTTTTAAGACATGGTCTCACAGAGATCCTGCCTCTGTCTCTCAAGTGCTGGGATTAAAAGTATGTGCCACCTAAACCCACCTAGCGGTCCCATTTTCATTTATTTTTTTATTATGTGTATGGGTGTTTGGCCTGCATGTATGTCTGTACCTCACTTGTGTGTTTAGTGTCCTTAGAGACCAGAAGAGGACATAGGATTTTCTAGAACTGTAATTACAGTTCTATGTGGGTGCTGGGAATCAAATGAGGTCCTCTGGAAGAGCAGCCAGTGCACTTAACCAGTGAGCTATCTTTCTGGCACAAGGTCGCTTTTTAAATAGGCAACAGTAACAGCAATACTAAAGTAGCTTCTATTACTTATCATTAGTGAGGGATGCTTTTTGTTTTTAGATAGAGTCTTGCTTGTAGCAGTGGCTGTCTTAGTATTTATATGTAGATAGTGATTCCTAAGCATTTAAGGATAAAAACTTACTTGATTTTACCTTAAATGGGTGGTAAAGAAATGGTAAATTAGTAGGATGTGGTGCTGCACGCCTGTAATCCCCAACATTTTGGGAGGCAGAGGCAGGTGGATCTCTGTGAATTTGAAGCTAACCTGGTCTACAGAGTGAGTTCCAGGACAGCTAGGGCTGTTACACAGAGAAACATTGTCTTTTTTTTCAAAGATTTTATTTATTCTTGTGTATATGAGTGCTCTATCTGCCTGTGTAAAGTTAAGGGTATAGATGGTTGTGAGCCACCATATGGTTGCTGGGAATTGAACTCAGGACCTCTGGAAGAGCAGACAGTGCTCTTAACCTCTGAGCCATCCCTCCAGCCGGAGAAACCCTGTCTTGAAAAAACAAAACAAAACAAACAAATAAAAGAATTAGTGGTAGATTGTGGGTTTAGTGAGGAAAGTGTATGCATGACTAGAAACGCACAGTAGGAGAAGGTTCAGCTTACAGTGAAGTAGGTGAGCTCCACTTGTGTGGTACTGGGAGGGCATATATTTCTGAGACAGGATCTTGTTCTGTATCCCTCCTGTTTTCACACACAAACACCCAAGCTGGGGAGTGGTGGGGAGTGGTGGTGCACGCCTTTAATCCCAGCAGGGGCAGGTGGATCTCTGTGAGTTCAAGGCCAGCCAGGGCTAGAGAAAGCCTGTCTGAAAAACCAAAACAAACAAATACCAGGCATGTCTTCAATCCCAGCACTCTGGAGGCAGAGGTAGGAGGATCTCTGTGAGTTCCTGTCACTGTGTATAGCCTAGCTAGGCTGCCCTTAAACTGGTGATCCGCTTCCTGTGAGCCTCCTCAGTGCTGGGATTCTAGATGAATAGCTACATTTGAACTAGTGTTGGTTTGTAGAGGAAGTACAGCAGAGGAGGAGGAGGAACCTGACCAGGGTTGAAGCTCCTCATGGTCCAGTATAAGGGAGGGGGGTTGCTGAGTTGTGATCATAGTTGACTTTTCCTCCACCAAGAAAATAACTGATTCCTGTGTCCTGGAAGTTCCTTTAGGAGTTTGAAGTTAGGGACTTTATGACTAATTGAGAAACAAGACTCAACAGGCCAAGTGCTGGAAATAAAGTACATCAGTTCACATTAGTACTTTGGGGAGCACTTCCCTGAATCTCAAGTAGGGGCTGTTCTGTCTGGTGGTGTCACAGCTAAATTTGAAATTGGGCTGTGTGCTTAGCTCAGCACCAGCATACCACAGAGGAGCACAGGCAGCTGTACATGACATCACAAAAGGATTGTTTGTTTGCTTGTTTATTTGTGTTGTTTTTTTGCCCCAGGAGGGGGGAAAAAAAAAGAAAAGAGACAATTTCAGAAGCAGACAAGCCCTAATGTGGTAATAGCTTTGTAACAAAATAAGGCTGATCTAGCAAATAAAGGGCTGTTGACTTCCAGGAAACATAGTCCTGAAAGATCCCCGGAGGGTATCTTCCGTCAGAGAGACCCCCTCCCAA